AAGGCATACAAATGAATCCTGTAAATATACAATCTTTTTTATCACTGGCACACTTTGAACAACTTGCTCCACGCTTTCATCTTCCATGTGAAAAATGTGTAACATTTTCTGACCTTTGCTACTTTATACTGGAAGTTCATACCCAATTTTGCTGACCATATAAAACCACTGTCTCAGCCCTCAAAAGTAAATTGATTGTTATGGTCCAGAATAAAAGCACTTCGAAAGTTAAGAGAACTCTTTGATTCTCAGCCACTACTCAAACACCTAAACTCCACTCAATTTAACACCAAAGCTTCAAATTTGCCAATAAGAACCATTTTCCTCCAGACAGAGAAAGAAGAAAAAGACAGATCTCCTGCCAGATGCCTTTCACTCAAGGTTGCTTCTCCCAGTGGAAAGCAACTACGATATTTCTATTTGGAGTTATTTATAATGAAAACTGCTTTCCAATAATAAAGGCATTTCCTGGAAGAGGCTGCCAATTCCACTGTACAAACCATAAGAATTTAGGTCTGTGGGAGGTACAATTCTTCACTACTCAACAAATCAGGTGGGAACATTTTATCTTTCTGTTTTGACTTTGTATTTCTAACATTCCTAGCTCATAGAACAAGGTTCCAGATCCCATCTCGTGTAAGTCTGAGTACAATCTACTCTATATAAGGTAAAGGTTCCCCTCCCACATACGTGCTAGTTGTTTCCAGCTCTAGGGAGCGGTGCTCATCGCTGTTACAGAGCTGAAGAGCCAGCACTGTCCGAAGAGGTCTCCGTGGTCATGTGGCCAGCACAGAACACTATTGCCTTCCCACCAAAGTGGTCCCTATTTTTCTACTTGCATTTTTACATGCTTTCAAACTGCTAGGTTGGCAGAAGCTGGGACAAGTAACTCCATTATGTGGCGCTACAGATTCCAAAGGCTGAACTGCCGACCTTTCTGATTGACAAGCTCAGGGTCTTAGCCACTGAGCCACCGCATCCCTTCCACTCTATATACTCAATTCCAAATAACATACTGCAACCAAGCAATTTGGAGTCCCACCCAAAGTCAGATCCTATGAAAGACCGGGGAGCAAGGAGACAGGTTGATTGTTTCAGAACAGATTAGAGCACAGCAGCAGCATGAAGTTTATATCAGGTTTCAGATGGATTACCTCCAGGGACCTCAACATGGCAATTTGTCACCCTTCATAATAGAGGAAAGGACAGCTCAGAAGTGGTATTCAGCAGGTTCTGATCAGTTCTGGAGAATCGATAGTGGGAATTTTGAGTGGTTCGGAGAACCAGCAAATACCACCTCTGACTGGAGATTTTACAGTATCCTTTCCCTGCTATGCCCACTAAGCCACGCCCACAGAACCAGTAGTAAAATGTTTTTGACTCTCACCACTGGGGCAGCTGTTATACAATTGTTGCTTATACATTCCCTTTCTTTAAGAGACCTCTAACTCTGCCATGACAATAGAATAGGCAAGGCAGGGGGGAGGAGGGGGGTGAGACAGGATATTAGAGATTTCTGGTGCTCAAGGATAAGGGATTAGATTTCATGTTGTCATGTCTATCATAAAACAAAATCTGTTCCTGGAAATCCGCCTGGTTTGCTGTAACCTCCAGAGGTTCATGGCCCTAGAAGTCAATATCACTGGATTTTATGATGATCTACCCCCAATACAGGGATACCAGCATGTGGTACTAGTGGATTTATTCACAAAACTGGCCCATTTAATCCCTTGCAGGAATCTCCCAACAGCTCAGGAAACAGCCCAGCTCTTGTTTTTTAATTTAAAATGTTTTTAGATACAGAGTATTGGCCAATCATGACATTTTGGACCACGGCACACATTTACATCCATATTTTGGAAGATGCTTCCCCCCTTTTTAAATATTAAAAATAATTTGTCATTCTCATATCATCCAGATTCTAATGGTGACTTTGAGAAAATTATCCAATTATTGCGGCAATATTTTAAAAGCTACATTTCCTAGCAATAGGACAATTGGCCTGATACGATGCCTCCTGAAGAATTTGCCAACAGCAATCCAATATATTCCCTCCATCAGAATGTTCCTTTTGCAGGAAACTTTCAGTTACCACATTCATGTGTTTTCCTCCATACCTAATGAATCATTAGTTCCGGTTGTGCTCAGATTTTTTTACAAGAGAGGCAAGTGGCCCAGTGGCTTTAAAGGGACAACTAGAGCTGGTAAAGACATCATACAAATAGAATGTACACAAGCAGGAGGGGAGCCAGAACTGCTGAAGGGGATTTGATATGGTTTTCTACAAAACTTTTGCCGTCTGCCTGATATTCAAAGAGATTTGACTCAAAGTTCATTGGTCCCTTCCCAGTGATTAAACAAATAAACCCAGCTTCCATTTGCAATTGCCAACATCAAGGAAGGTTCATCCTGTATTCTATAGATATCGGTATCTGCTTCTAAAAGAGACACACAAGGACAAATCCACCTTCCTTCATGTTGCTAGAGGGGGAAGAAGAATATTAACTTGATATTATACTGGACTCTAGACATAAAGGAAATGTTTAGAATACCCGATTCAGTGGAAAAGCTATCAAAATTCAGAGAGATTATGAAAGACAGCCTCAGATGTGCATGTTCCACAATCGGTGCACTCATCAATTGATAGCCAGAAAAACCTCACCTGCAAGAACTACTACTATTGCAAAAGACTGGGGAAACCCAAAATAAGCAAAACTTTGACTTTTATGGGTTGGAAGGGGCCACAAGCAGAGTGTCAAGTACACAAGCAGAGAACAGAGAAGTTCCAACTTCATATACATCAGGGATGCAGGACTGAGCAGAAGGCAGAGGCAGCTTCTTCCAGAACAGGAACATAAAGAGTAGGCAGCCCAGCAGAAAGGAACTCTCAGAGTACAAATGAATTATAAGATTTGTTGAGGGACCTTGAGAAGGTGCCAACAGAGGAGAGGAGCAGCACACCTGCATTTTGTACTCATAGCCACTTGGTTTTCTTTAAGAACAAGAGGGAGGGGGGCTGGGCCAATGGGGGAGGTGGTGTAAAGGACGGAGGGCATGACCTTGAGGGAAAGAAGGAAAAGCCACTACCAAGACTGAATGTAAACTGAATAAATTGTCTGAGGCAATCCCCTCTCTAATTCTCATAAAGATAAAGGGAGGGAGGAGGAAGCACATTGAGACTTGCAAGATTGTGTTACTATAACTTTGCAGGACCTAGGATTCCTAAACTAAGCTACCTTCAAGGGGTGACAACGATTGACTGCAAAGAAGACTGGAATATACAGATTATCTGGAACATTTTCAATTCAGGCCAAAGCATTAAAAAAAACTGGCTTCCCTATTGATTTTGCCTGTGAGAAGGTCACAAAAGGTGAAAACAGGCAACGGTCATAAATATGAACCAGTTGCCAAGCATCTGAATTTTGATCACGTGACGGGCATGCTGCAAAGGTTATAACTGAAAAATAGTCATAAGTCACCTTTTTCAGTGCTGCTGTAACTTTGTTTGAATGGTCATTAAACGAACGGTTGTAAATTGAGACTACCTGTATATCAATTGCAAATGTTCCTGAAGTAGAAGGTACTGGATATAGTCTCCCACCTCCTTGTCACCTCGTGGGTGAATTACCTATAATTACCTGTGGTATATTCTACATGGATCTTTTTGATGACCGCCATAAACTGCAACTTATGAAAGTACAACCCACATTTAGATAAGACAACCTGGTATTATTATATAATACCAATATTCAGGAATTTCACTGTTTGCCCATTTGTTTCTGGGTACAATTTAGACAAATGACAAACAAATAAATAAAGCCTTGGAATCTAATCTTACCACAGTGCTTCACACATTGAAGAGTTTCTAGTGCAGATTTTGCTTTTGTGATAATCATATGCATTTTCAATGTGAAGTCATTGAGAAACTGCTTCTCTACAGTATTGGAGAGCTATCCTCAACAAGAATCATGTTGAGGTGGCAGAATTTTTCCAAACTGTATTCTGCATAACTGTACTATATTAATGAACCCTCTGCCTATTATGGACAAGCCCAAGAACCCAGAGCACAGACCAAGATCTTTATCCTCACCCTAGGAATTGTTGCCCAGCTGCTCGTCAGTAACCATCACTAACTGCAGTTAAAGCACAGGTTAGCAGATCTGGGCGTTCCGGGACCATCATTTTTGATCTTTTTATTTTTATGTGAATTTGGAGCGGGGAGGGGGGGATTATTTTATTATGTTGACTTTGCAATCTGCCTACAGCCTTAGAGAATAAGTGGTATGCAGCAGGCTCAACAAATACTAGATAAAATAATAATAATCTCATTGTCCTAATTCATATTCTCCCCACAACTCCAAGCAGGGAAAAATACTGTTTGGGGAATGGAATTATGTTGCATTTCCCACTTATGTGGATACAACTTTAGATGTTAGAATTCCAGCAAGAACATGGAGGTAAACATTGTCTCTTACCTATACATCAGGCTTATTTATTCCTCACTCATTTCTGTGCAAATCAAGGTAATGTGTGCAGTGCTCCTCCTATTTCCGCAGAATAATCCTGTAAGGTGGATTGATCTGAGAGGAACTGGTTGTCCCTCAGATGGCTTCCATCCTTAAGGCAGAATAAAAACTTGCGATATCTAACTTTCTTCCCAGGGCCTTAACCATACCTATTCAATAATTGCCCTCCTATTGGTAGTAGCGATGAATACTATCTGGCAGGATGTTGGGAGCAAATTATGAGAAGGCTATACCATTGTGCAATTTCACATACTGGGGTATGTATACGTATCCGTGCAAAATAATAAATAGTAATATAACATTCAAATCCACTCCTTGCGAGATCTCATGTGAGAACATTTTACATCTGTGTATCATTTTCAAAAAAGTATTTAAAAAAAAAAAGAAGAAATAAAGTTTCTCAATGGACACCGTACTGATGACCTTGGGTTAAGATGGAAATCCATAATCTATGAAATTGCAGAGTATGCTTACCACTACCATCGGGCAAAGCAGAAACGTAAGTTGGCAACATAGGTAAGTAACTGGTTGCTTTGTCCTTCTGCTTGAGGCCCTTTTCCAAGGCTGCCCCCATTAAGTCCTTCACAGATTTGAGCTGTTCCAAGGTGACATAAAAGGGCAGGATATGTTTCTTGATTTGTTCAGGGATAGAGGAAATTTTAGAAGAAGGCCGATGGGGTATTAACCTATGAGCAGGCCTGGCTTCTGGGACTGTCGCTGTGGCCGCTTTGGTAATGGACACAAAAGAGCTACTTAAAGCTCCTCTTTCGTTAAGCATTGGCTCGTCTCTGGAGGAGCGTGGCAAGCCGGAGTGCACTAATGAAAAAGAAAGAAGGGAGGTGGTGGCCGCAGAATCCTGGCTGGGAAAAGAGAAAGAGCCTTTCTCTGCCCGGTCAAGCAGGTTTAGGTCAGAGGCATCAGACCCCGACCTGCTAAAAGCAAAGAAGGTGTTCGAGTCCGGGGAGGCGTTTAACATCAGGGAGAACTTGTGCGAGCTCTCGGAAACTGGCTTTGAATCTGAGGTACTTTTCAGGAAAAAGGAAACCTTAGAAGAGCCCCTGGCAGAGGCAGGGCTTTCTGGCCCAGCCGAGCCACGGCTGCCCCGCTCAGACTTGCGACCTAAGCCCTGCTCAGCCATGGCAAGAGCCCCCCTGGCCCGCCCAGTCACCGAGATGTGCAAAGGGAGCGCAGAGAAGCGCAGGCCGCCGAAGGAAGCCCGGCGGGGCAAAGGAGAGAAGCCGAAGGCTGGCAGCTCAAGCCGAAGGAGGCATCCGGTGCAAGAGGGGGGAAAGGTGGCTAAGAGGGGCGACACGGCAGCTGGCTGTTGGAGTGGGGGGGAGGGTGAGGTCCGTGAAGAAAGGGGAGGAGGGACAAGCAGGAGCTGAATTGGGGGTGGGGGAAAAGGAGGAGAAAAGGAGGGAGGAAAGAAGGAAGGAGTCCAGGACGAGGGAGAAGGAGGCGGGTGGGGGAAGGGCGGAGAGGAGAATCCCTGGAAGGCCGTTGGAAACGGGCTGCCGGCAGAGAAGAGCCGGAGGGAGGGGTGGGGAGCGTAGAACAGGGACCGCAGAGTTACGCGCAGGGTAGAGGGGTCATCGCTTTCTCTGCTACGGGCTTGCTTGACCTCACGTGAGTCGTCCCCACCCCCCCACCCCCCACACCGTGGGTGTGTGCTGGTTACAACGCTCTGCTCAGGATTTCCATCCCGTTGAGCCCTGCCCCCACTCCAACTCCACGTCGGGGGAAAGTGGTTACAGATCTCCCCTCCCTATGTTCAGTTAGGAAGGTGGTCGGTTTGTACTTTTATTTAATCTCATTCCTAGGCCGCCAGTTTCTTCCCCAAACCCCAAAAACTTTAACCTTAGACTGTCTACTATTGACCTCACCCCTTTCCTAAGAGGTCTGTAGGGGGCGTGCATAAGCGCACCAACGTGCCTACCGTCCCTGTCCTATTGTTTCTATTTTTCTTACATGTACCCATTTCATGTATTCATAACTATGTATATACTTATACTGATTATCTTGTAAACAATTGACAAATCAAATAAATAAATAAAGTGATTCAGACTGGCTTCATGAAGGGAAAGAAGAAGAATTTTAAAAAAATAACCCTTTCACATTACCCTCATGCTAGAAGAGCCTGCCAGCCAGTTTATCTGACAGCCTGGGAGTGGGGGGGTAGAAGAACAATGCTTCAGGCTTCCTTGAAGGAGGTTAAAGTGGATTGTTTTTAAAATGGGCATCTGAGACCGAGATAACTGGCCATAGAAATTACCATCTTTCTCTAAGCTAAAATGCATAACCAGGACAAAACGCGTCTTTGCTAATGGAGGATTTACTATGTGTAAAATTAAAATGGTTTTGTTTGTTGAAAGATGATTAGCTTTGGTAAAACAAATTCTGGAGAGAATGCAGCCAACAAACTCAGTTTGCAAGGAAAAGGGGAGTTGCTGCTTTGAAAATGTTTCCCAGGAGAACTATAGTGTAGTTCGTTCAGAATAGTTCTGTAGAGCTAGAGAAAGGGATTTACAACCATCCCCCTAATGTAATATTTATAATCTCTGCTGCACATTTGGGAGAGGGGCGGGCTAAGGAGTAAAGCTGAAGCAGTATGCAACAACCTTGTAGTGTTGAATCTCCAAATACCTATGCAAGGGTCCTCTTTGTAGACTTCAGTTAAGCATTCAATACCATCATTCCAGACACTCTTCTAAGTAAATTAAACCAACTAGCAGTACCCAAACACACTTGTAAGTGGATCATAAGCTTCCTAACAGACAGGAAGCAGCAGGTGAAGCTAGGTGGACATCTGATACCTGTACAATCAGCACAGCCCCCCCCCCCCAAGGCTGTGTGCTATCTCCACTTCTCCCTATATACCAATGACTGCATCTCAAATGATCCATCTGTTAAAATACTGAAGTTTGCTGATGACACAACAGTGATTGGTCTCATTCGAGACAACGATGAATATGCATGTAGACAGGAGGTTCTACAACTTGCCTCGTGGTGTAACCGGAACAATCTGGAACTGAACACACTCAAAACCGTAGAAATGGTGGTAGACTTTAGAAGAAACCCTCCTATACTACCACCTCTTACAATACTAGACAACACAATATCAACAGTAGAGGCCTTCAAATTTCTAGGTTCTACTATATCACATGACCTAAAATGGACACCTAACATCAAAAACATCATCAAAAAAGCACAACAAAGAATGTTCTTTCTGCGCCAACTCAGAAAGCTCAAACTGCCCAAGGAGCTGCTGATCCAGTTCGACAGAGGAATTATTGAATCTATCATCTGCACCTCTGTAACTGTCTGGTTTGGTTCTGCAACCCAACAGGACAGACACAGACTTCAGGGGATAATTAGGACTGCAGAAAAAACAAATACTACTAACCTGCCTTCCATTGGAGACATGTACACTGCACAAGTCAAAAAGAGGGCTGTAAAAATATTTACAGACCCCTCACATCCCAGACATACTGTTTCAACTCCTTCCCTCAAAACGACGCTATAGAGCACTGTACACCAGAACAACTAGACACAAGAACATTTTTTCCCCCGAAAGCCATCACTCTGCTAAACAAATAATTCCCTCAACACTGTTCAACTATTTACAAAGTGTACACTACTATTACTGTTAATCTTCTCATCACTCCTTATCACCCATCCCCTCCCACTTGTGACTGTTTCCTAGTATGATTTGATTGTTGATTGTACCCTCTGACTATCATTAAGTGTTGTATCTTATGATTCTTGATTCTTAACGAATGTACCTTTTCTTTATTGAATCTATCATCTGCACCTCTGTAACTGTCTGTAACTGTATACTGAGAGTATTTACACCAAGACAAATTCTTTGTGTGTTCAGTCACACTTGGCCAATAAAGTATTCTATTCTATACTATTCTATTGACTAGAACTGTTGCTTGGAAAATACATTGCAGTAATATCTTATTCTAATTTATTTTTTAATATTTACTAGTATTGGAAGAAATATCCTTCTGGGTTCAGTTCCAAGTGGGGAAAAAGACACTGGATTCATGGAAGTTGCTTGGAAAGAAGGTTTAATGGTGGACAGGACCACATGCCTTGGAGCTCCTGGGCGAAAAGAGAAGAGATGCTAAGAATCCCCTGGTTTCATACCCTCTGTTGGGTCCCACCTTAGTGTTTCCTGTTCCTGTGTAAGAAATGTATTCCATTGGCTGTCAGACTCCCAGGGGTGGGGGGTGGGGGGTCTTAGCTAACTTTGTAGACTTTGTCTGGACCACATGGCTTCACCTGTTTGCTGGCTGATGCAATCTTCCTAGATACCATGTGGTGAGATGGGTAATCCTATCATTTCCTGTGGGCCATGTCTTAATCCCATCACCCTGGAGCTGAAGGGGAGGGGGCAGGGAGCTGCAGGAAGCTGCTTTGTCTTTAAAACATGTTTCTCCTTTTCTTCATCCAGGGAAATATAATATTCTGCCTTTTTAATATTTACTAGAATATTTCATTCTTCTAGGAGAAGGGTGGGTGTTAACTTTCTACACTAGGTATACAGTATGCTGTTTTTCTCCCCAGATGAAAAAACTCTTCCTTGCTCCTAATTTTTCACCACCACCACAAGCCTGGGAGAAGTTTGGCTTGAGAGCAATGGCAGAAGTCATTCAGTAAGCTTTTATGGTTAAGGGTGCTCTTGACCCTGAGCAGGTTCTAAACCATCACCATCATATCTCACTGCCTAAGAGGTTGCATGAAAAGAAGGAGTCTTGGAAAGGTAAGCTACTTTTAATATTGCATGCCAGAGCTAGAACTGAATTTGCCATGACCAAAATCTCCCATTGAAATCATCCTTCAGGTTAAAAAAAGCAGTAAATCTTATACCTGGCCCAGAACTTGTATCTTCTGTGAATTGGAAATATGTGCTTCATTGATTTGCATTTAGACAGATTGTAAATTTAAAACTTGAAAAACTTTTTTTTAAAATTCCGTGAGTTGGAAATAACAAAGCATAGCATCTATGAAAGATACACATGGCGCATCACTTCGATCAAGGTTTGCTTGGTAATGTGCCCATTTATCCAGAAGTAAGACAAGTATAACCTAGAATGATACAGAAATACTACTGGGATGTTGGTGAACAATCTCTCCAGTTAACATTTTGCTCAATGTGTGACTTGTGACTAGCTGATGGCAACCATTTTGCACTGATTACTGTATTCTGGAAAAGTTTTTATCTTAAGGGTATTTAATGGGATTTCATTGGGAATGAAACTGGAACTGAATGTCTAGGTATAGTATATGAAAAAAGAGACTGGACTAAAGCTAGCATGTGCCTTGTATGACCATCTGGGGTCAATCCCTGGTACTTCTAACCTAGTTTGGAGAACTCATTCATTTTTGGATATAGATAAGAGACTGATCTAAAGTTAGAATATGCCATTGTCTGATTTAGTATAAAAGAAACTTCATATGATTCCCCTGTTACACCAGTAGTTCTACATACAGGTGACCAGTTTTACAGGAACCATCAGTAAGGATTCATGTATTGGTAGATATTGTTGGGGGAGGATTAGAAGGGAAAACATGTCCTTTCATATCTTACTATTGGGATTTTTTTATAAAACTATGCACACCATTATAGTGTCTAGTACTGCTCTTAATAAAATATCTAGGAAGAAGTCTTTTTTAAAAATTAAGATATTTTTAACATAGTACATGCTATTAAATACCTGTGTGCAGCTCTTGCAAGTAAGAGAAAAATTTTCCCAGGATTTATTAACTTCTTAAAGAGGTATATTTGATTTCCATTCAATGGTTTTCCTATTGATGGTAGTTATTATTCACAGTTTATGCAGTATTGATTGTTTTTGCAATGGCCTATGGCTAAACAAATGCATTTAAGATGCACCAAAATTCTTTTTTTTTAATGTTGCTGCAACAAGCATATTTACCTCTTTGGGAATGTATTTATTTTATTTATTTATATATCACATTTAGAGACTGTCCATCTCATTCATAAAGCCATATCTGGGCTGTATACAATGATTAAACATAATTATCCCAATTGTTAATTACAGTTACCCCAGTTGTTAAGATATCAATAGGCAATGAACTGAAACCAGCCATGAAAATATCAATCTTTGG